GACAATATATATTTACTAATGGATTACTTATATTGCATAAGAGATCAGAAAAGAATTTTACATAGTTGAAAATTAAAATTTTTTTTTATGTAATACTAATTAATTCACTATTCCTTTTTAAAAACAATATTTGAGAAACAGTTTCTGAACTGAGACGTGTTCGTTTTGGCGTTATTTGATTTCTCGCATCTGAGAATAAGCGTTCACTTGGCACCGAAGTTGCTGGGATAGATAAGTACTTCTTTGCTAACTTACTTAAATTTGGAAAATCTTTTTCTCATTCCTTCCACTATTCTAAAGGTTGTTTTGATGGTGATGCAAGCGATGCTTCTAAATATTTATCCAATTTGCTCTTATTATTTAATAGATTATCATTATCGTTATCATCAAATATTAATGCAAAATAACGATTAGTTGAAGTAGTACTGGTGGAAGAAATGGATTGTATAGGTGCTGCATCAATAATGTTATCAAGTTCTTCACGCCATATTCTTATTGTTTCTTCTCGTAGATAACTAGACCAAGGACACATTTTTTTAAGCTGAGGGTCTAGTAAAGTAGCTAAAAGACCGGTGTATTTTGGTTCACTCCAATATTTCCAAAGAGAATTATAAATTGCTTGCTTAGTATAAGCAATTATTGATGGGATATCATTAGTATCTAGTATTTGTGCGTCTTCATTATCATTATCGCTATCTAATTATAAAAAAAGGTAAATATTAGCATTGTATTTTGGTAATAATTTATGATAGAAAATTCAAATAATTATTAAAAATTACCATATTCTTCATTGAAATCGTCCTCACTTGAGGCTAAATTTGAATTTGTTGCAAATTCAAATTTTAACATTTCAATAATAGGATACACAACCGACAATATAGGATATTTTTCAGCACTAAATACTTCAGTAGCTTGGTCGAATGGCTCGAAGACCTTAACTAATTCTTCAATTAACTTCCATTCGTCTTCATCAGGTAAACATTGAGCAAGATTTTGTCCATCTTTTTTATTATCTGAATTACGTGAAATTTTTAAATTGGCTTCTAACCATATAATTGCATCCTTTAGTTTTAAAAGCCTTTCCCAAGATCTATAAGTGGAGTTTCACCTAGTTGGGCAATCTTTAAGTAGACGAATAGTTTTGGGAGTAATATTTATATTAAGTCATTCTGAATCTGTACTAACACCATCATTAACTTCACTGCTTTCTTCTTCCTCAAAATAAGATTTAGTACTAATTAAATTAGACTGAAGTAATTTATCTCTTTTCATTACATTTATTTGAGCCCTTTCTAATCTTTCTTGTTGTTTAGGTGAATCAAAAAAATTAACCAATTTTTTTATTTTTTTTGTTTTTGAGTTAATTTTTTTTAAAGAAGAATTAACTGTTAACTGCAGAGTATGTACAGTATACAGAAGCCAGGTAACAGTGTTTCATAATCGAATAGCTTTTGCCATGTTTGCGCCATTATCAGTAATGGCGCATACAATT